TAACACCTGGATTCCTCTTATTTCGCTCGTTCTTAGGCAAGGTTGGAAAGAAATGGAATCTCTGTTTCTAGTCTTCGTCATACATCTTTAATATTTTAAAAATATATAAGCAAAGTTTTAATTTATTCTTCAGAATTAATGAGCATTAGGCAGGATCGTTTCACGCTTCCGAGCCTCTGAAACCATCCAAATTTGCGAGCCTCTGCCTATGTCTGCTGAAGACCAAGCAACGGAAGCAATTTCAGACATGCTTCTTGTAAAAAATGAGGATCTTTTTAGTAGTCCTAAGCCGATGTTGAAGTTTCATAATTGTTGAGATTATCTTCATTTCGAGTGGAAGTGTTGCGTGAAGAGATTCGAATTTTGGTTCCACAAGAAGACGACCAGCCTGACCAGCTGTCGATTGGCTTTGCTGGAAGATTCATGCTGACGCTGTTTCTGAGGCAACCTCACTTGATTCCGGAGAAAAGGTGCAAAGCTTCATCAAGCCTTGATGGCCGAAGGCAGACGTTACTTTTTCTGTCCCAATTACTTTGAGCCATCACTGCCAGTCTCGTGCATAAGCGAACACAAACACATACAGATACATGCATATTCACAGACGTCGAAGTTTATATATGACCGTAACTAACCAAATCACTTTATACCTCATCAAAGAGGCCAGATGTAGAGTTTATATACCACTTTTTAGGGATTTGCAGGTGATTTTTCTTGACTCCTTAGCTTGAATTTTGTTGTGACGATGTTACCTTGCTCCGATGATGTTCGTCATATGACGGACGAAAGCCTAGCACCTTTTTACCGGAATCGAATGAGATTTCTTCGTAAACAGCGTAAACAGTAAAGCCAATCGGCAGCTGATCAAGAGTAATCCGCCGTCTTCTTCTGGTGGAACCGACCTTCGAATCTCTTCAAGCAACACTTTCATTTGAAATGGAAGTAAGCTCAACATTTATGTGGATGATCCATTTTACTCAAACCTGGCAGCTTTCAACTCCTTTTTCGTTCATATCAGCCAACTTCATTTAATTCGTATAAATGCCCCTTGGATTAAAGTTTAAAACCTTTTGTAAATTTATGAGAAATTTTCTTTATTGTTCAATCTATTTTCTATCTAATCTACCTTACTCATACCAGGCTCTTTCTTGACTGAAAAAACGGTTGACATATTTGATGATTTTTACTAAAATTATTTGCTTACTTTATGATAAACTTATTTAGAGCTTATCCAACCTTTGGGTAGTGTTGCTCAGAAATGTTGATAAGGCAGCATGTGATTCTACCTTCAAAGTCGCCCTGACACTTGCGCCAAATTGGGAAATTTCCCTACAGAAGTGTCCGACTATGTTGGCGCCGATCGAGTCAATGAGCTGTACCGTTTTCCTTCGACGTCATGCAGAAAAGTGATTTTATCGCGTTTTCGCAACTTGCTCCTGTTGTCAGGTCTCGACCTGATCCTGTAAAAGGCAGCTTGTCCGAACTCTTCTGCCAATCCTCAGCCTTAAACAGTAGATTTGGTAGATTCCCAGACATGTCACCTGTTGCCTGGTTGGCATCTTCAGTAAACCTTGCCTGGCTTAGCACCGAAATGTTGGGTGAAGAGATTCGCAGGTCGGTTCCACCAGAAGACGACGGCGATTCCTCTTGACCAACTGTCGATTGGCTTTACTGCAAGATTCATGCTGACGCTGTTTCCGAGGCAATCTCACTCGATTCCGGTGAAAAGGTGCTAAGCTTCATCAAGCCTTGATGGCCGAAGACAGACTGTCCCACCAAAAGAATATGATATAGCAAAGAGGCCTGACTATCCTTGAAATTTATGTATGACCTGTGACTTAAAGGTACTCGTGGCAGTGTAGCCGAGTGCTTAGCATTTCAAGTTTCCATCCTGCACTGACGCGGTTCGACTCCCGATCAGGGTGTTGATAAGACCGATGCGAGGTCGAAACTGCAGTCCACTCCAGCCGGGATGAGAACAACTGTTGGGAAAGAAAGGCTATGTGAAATTCAAGGGAAACGTCAGCTCAACTCATATCATTGTGGGAAAATTCTACTACCA